AGGTTGATTTGATGTGACCGTGATTGTGCACTTACACCTCTCATTCTTCTTCCATGGTTGCTTCTTGTTTTAATCCCACTTCTAACTCTTCTAACTCTTCTATTAAAAGTTGAGCCTTCCATTATTTCATCTTCGCCATCCTCGCCATCCTCATCTTCTTCTTCATTGTTTACTTCTGAATCACTAGAACTTTCAATTAATTCATTATCATTTAATTCGTTGTAAACTCCACCTAGTCTTCTTGTCATATTAGCAATGTAATAACTAGTATCATCATCATAATCTTCAAAAATTGGTTCATTATCTTCGGAAATATCCATAGTTTGTTCTTGGGTTTCAATCGGATTCATTTTAGTTTCTTTATGAAAATTTGAAATAAAATTGGATAATTTTGTTGAATATTTGACTATTTTCAAAAGTGATTATTTTCAAAAAATGGTTAAAAAAATTAAATTATTACTTATCTGAAGGCGCCTCATACTTTTGCAAATTTATAGGAAATTTGGGACAAGTTTTTTCATTTAAAAAAAGATTTCGTGTTGAATTTCGGAATTTCGGAATTTTGGAGTTTTCGGAAAATTTACGGAATACATTTTCCATAAATGAGTCAAATTGTGCCGATGAATAAGAATGGGTTTCCAGAAACATTTTTCATTAAGTACATGCTATGCTCAGAATCAAATTGAAAAACTTTTATTTGTGACAAAAACTTTGAATTGTAAATTGCGTGCTGATCGGCACGCAATTTCGTTTAAGGGATAATGGCATATATTGCAGTATCTTGCATAAAACTGCCAATATATTGTAGTAAGTTCAATTTCACCACAAACTATGCAGGATTGAGGTGAAGCAATGAAGAATCTAATATATTGTAATTCATTCCAGTTTGGTGGTGGAGGTCGTTTCAATCTTTTAAAATAAGCCAATCTTGCTTTTTTCCAAATTTGTTGGGTTGCATTACATGTATCCATTAAGATAAAATGGAATCTTGAACACGTTTCTGCCAGTGCCAACAAACTGGATGGTGGTAAATCTTCACAAATTTGGACAAATATTTCAACTGGTATGTTTGCAAAAATTGCAAACTCTTTCCTTTTGATACTATATTTTTGTGGTAAAAAATGAGAATTCCTAATATAATAATATAACTAGAGTAACGATGAGTGGCGGGCGATAACCACCACCATCCTTATGATAAACACTTACCAAACATTTTCTTTTTTTCTATCTTCTTTCTTCTCTTTGTATTTTTTGATGACATTTTTATTTAATTTAATTTTTTATCTAAAAAAAAAAAAAAAAAACAAACACGTAAACAATATTAACATTATTATTGGCACTTGGTGTTGCACAGATTTTTTTTTTTGTTGACGCGAATTGATTGATTTTTTTTTTCTTGGAAAAACGATCTAAGATGACAAAACATGAGTGTTGTTGTTGACTCTGAAGCAAATATGCTGTTATAGGTAACAATTTTTTAGCTGTATTGATATATATATTTTAATTATTATAAGTGTTTTAATTGAAATCAAAACGCGGAGTAGATCTCGCTGGATAATAAGATTCTTATCAAGATGATAAATGAATGATTGGCATTTTGCTTTTTGTAATCAATAATATTATTATAATCACAAGATGTCAAGGCAGCATGACTGACTGTTACGGAAGAAACAATTCAAATATGCGACAGTTTAATTTGATTATTGAAAAATTACGGATGTTGAAGCATGCACGCCACCTTGAACACCATACAGTCATTCTCACATCTTCCTCGTGTACACAAGGCTAATCTGACTAGTGTCTCCCGATGGTATGATGATGCAACTGAATTTTCAGGGGGGAGTGGACATGTCATGGAGTTTACCAAAACTGCACCAATTGTCAAGGACGTTTTTCACTAATCTTCCCAGACCACTGGCATTCTATATAGCTGAAATGTTACCTGCAACAATCCCACCTCTAGGGTAAGGATGGCTCTGTGACCAAGCTGTTGCAACTCTGGAGGAATATTAAGAGAATCTGCAGCTCATTTCAAGCAACAGGAGTTTATAATTCAGAGCAGTGTCTGTGACCCTGAAATTGCATTTGGACTCTGATATGATGTTAAGAGGAAAGCAAAATAGTGTTTGTTTTGTATAATCACTTTCCTAAATTCTCTGTTTCTTTGATACTAACCAATTTATATTTTGGGTAAGGGACTGAATGGGTTTTTGCCCTGTTCTATAGATTAAAATTATCACATGATTATAATATATATCTTTGTCAGCAATATGGCCAACAAGAAAATGTTATAAAATGGTTTGTATAAATTAATCATTTTTCTAAATTCTCTGTTCCTCTTTAATCTTTATTTGACCAACTGAATTTGTTTTTTGAATAGGGGTAGGGTTGTTGATGAGCAGATGTGCCACAA